AAAAATGGAGGTGTTTTTGCCTTTCCCCAGTCCTGCTGAAGCCTGCAGAGTGCTGTTGGGGGCTGGGGGAAGGCAAAAATGCCTCCATTTTTGTGAAAAACAGCCCATTTTTCACCCATTTTCTGCAAAAATTGGATGTGGGGGGGGGTGGGGCTTCAGGAGGCCAAAAATGACTGTATTCAGTGTATAAGACACACCAAAATTTCTATGCTCTTTTAGGGAGGAAAAGGTGCGCCTTATACACTGAAAAATATGGTATTTAAAATCAGGCCACCGAAGTGGCAGGGAAGCACATGTGCTCATCCTTACTTGTGCGAGTAGCAGGCAAGCGTGTGTGCACACAGTCCAATTCACAAGCAATGCCAGTCACTCACATGGAATCATCCCCTCTGCACCTTGCCAGCTCACAAAGCCAGAAAGGTTGGGGAACTCTGGTCTAAGTCACCCCCAACCTTCCTTTACTTTTTTGTGTAGTCCAGGGGCCCCCATCCCGTGGTCCATGGAGAGGCACTGGCAGGGGAGGGCTGCTATAGTTTCGCCTGGGTTCGGGAGAACCCGTAGCTAATGTTATGGCTATTTTGGAGAACCTCCAAATCCCACCCCTGGCTGGCCCCACCCACCATACCCCACCGCTGCCAGTCCATCACACCCTCCCAGGAGTCTCCATGTCGCCTGTTTTGGATGCAAGATAAGTGCAGAGCCCACACGGACGCCAAGGAGGGGGGAAATGGACCTCCCGGAAGGCCTCCAGAGTCCGGGGGAGGCAGTTTTTGTCCTCCCAGATACTCGAGGAACACCTCCGGAGCTTGGGGAAGATGAAAGCTCCATCCCCTGCTGTGATGCAGGAGGCTGACCAGGCCACACCCACCATGCCCATGGCCAGAGAGCCTGTTGCTGAAATTTTTGAAGCCCTGGGCACTGATCTGTGGCATGCCAGAAACCAGGCCGCACAAACAAGCGAAGCCCCATCCATGGGATACAGGCAGTACACAAAACCATGCTCCCTCCGGTCCATGGAAAAACCTTTCTCCACAAAACCGGTCCCTCGTACCCAAAAGTTTGGGGGCGGCTGGTGTAGTCAATTCAAAAACCACCTTAGAAGCAGAAATGTAAATCTTCACATTTAACCTTGTAGGCGATTAAAATTACTTTCAGTTTAGATCAGGGGTGTCAATCTCATGATGACATGTCATCACACGACTTATTGCAACTCCCCCCCTTCATTAAAACTGGAGTGGGCATGGCCAGCATGCGACACATTTGGCCTACAGGCTGTGAGTTTGACACCCTTGGATTAGATCAATTTTTGGGGGTCTGTGACATATCCAAAGGTAATTGGCAACTGTGCACTTCTTAAGTCTGCCCAGTTCCATGAACCTAAAGGAATCCTGCAAAAAATATCCAGTCTGGTTCAAGGAGAAAATGAATCTTGTAGAACCAAAATTCAGAGCTCACTGCCAGCTGTGTAAAAATGCTGCTGAGTGAGATGCATTTCACAAGTAGGCGCCCAGTGGTTGGTCATAGTTATCATGAGTCAGCCAGCTTCAAAGCATCATCCAGATTCTGCAATAAAAAAAATTGCCGCCTGTGATTTTTAAAAAACCAGGTGAGCTCATTCACATTATTTTATGCACCCATTTCCCTCCAGCAGATAACACTCAGTTATTAATTTCTCTATAATCGTTCTTTTTTAATTAGGCTATGACAAAAAAGCAAATGGCTTTGGAAAAACTCAGTCTCCAGAAAAGCCTACTCTATTTTGAAAGCATTCATGGACGGCCTGTAAGTATTTCTTAGAAAGAGAGATAAAAAAATCAGTCTGAATTAGGTCCAGTACTTCAAGGAGCCTTCCACCATGTCATGTTTGATAGGTTCCTGAACAATATCTAGTTCTATCATAACTGTCTCTACCTCTATCTTCTATCTATCATATATTATTCTCCCTGTTGTCTGTCTATCACAGTGTTTCTCAACCTTGGCANGGGTCCTCATTTTACCCACCTCGGAAGGATGGAAGGCTGAGTCAACCCTGAGCCGGTGAGATTTGAACCGCTGAACTGCTGATCTAGCAGTCAGCTGAAGTGGCTTGCAGTACTGCACTCTACCCACTGCGCCACCTCGGCTCTCCAGCTTCAGCCTCGGCTTCAGCCATTCTTGATGTTCTCAAATGCTAAAGCAAATGAATTTTGGATTATCTGAGTACCTACTGTGGGAGATATGATTCATGCTTGTGTGTCAGCTCTCTCAGAGAGAGGCTATGAGTAACCTTATACTAAGCATCTGACTTCATGAAGCAATGATGTCATAAATGCCTAAGACTGAGTTATCTGCATATCTTACCACACCAAACAAAGCACTCAGCAACAACCAGCTACCAGCAAAACAACCAGCTACCAGCAAAATTAAGAAATAGCAGATTAACTATGGAGATGGGCAAAACCCCCAGTAATTAGTTTTCAGTCATTACAGAGGACCAAAGGGGAAAGTACATTCTGGCTGTATCGACCCATCTGGTAAAGTAACACTAAACGTTTTTGAACAGGGCTCGGGGGGAAAACACAGTTCATACTTCTGCTTATATTTAAACTAGGAAGAAAAATACTTTAGCATTGATACTGCTAAAGACTAATTGTGATTGGTCTCACTCCTGGCTGTGTACAAGATAAAATCATGCCAGATCATAAGCTGAGGATTACCTGTTGCTTTTTGGAGGTTTTCAAGAAAAGATTGGATAAACCATTTATCCAGAATGGAATAAGGACTCCTGCCTGAGCAGGGGGTTGGACTAGAAAATCTCCAAGGTCCCTTCCAGTCCTAGGATTCTATGATTTTAGGGTGATATGCAGGGACTCATATAGGAACTGTCTGTGCTGTGAGATGGGCAGCTACATAGATGGGATAAATAAATAAATGCAAGTGAGAGAGGAAAGAAAGGAAAGGAAAGTAGGGAGGGGAAGTAAGAGTAGGAAAGAGGGTTAGAAGGTGAAGAAGAGAGGAGGAGTGGGGAAAGGGAAGGAAAGAAGGAAAGAGGGAGGAGATGAGGAAAGGAGAGGGCAGAGAGGGGAGGTTGAGAAGATGGAAGGAGCAAGGTTGTTGCGAAAAAGGATGGATATACGAGGTGGTAAGAAAGTGACCCCAACTGCAGTTTCTATATATGTAAGAAGATTGTGACAAATGTTAATACTTACGGTAATAGATATATGTTAATAGTATTTTCAATAATGTATATTTGTGAATCTATATGAAAGGAAAAAATAAAATCTTATTTTTAAAAAAGGAAAGGAAAGGAAGGAAGGAAAGAAGGAAGGAAGGAAGAAAAAAAAGAAAGAAAGAAGAAGAAAAGTTTCTCTTTGATCCTATCATCAGCAAGCCAGGGCTCCTTGACAGGCCTTGCAGATGGCTCTAGCCCTTGGCAAAGAAATGAATCTTCATCCAGCATTTTTTCAACCCTTAGAATGACCAGATGGACCTGAGGTTCAGAACATCGGTCAGTCCAGTTGTGATCTGATCTAGCTCACCCTCCAATGTTACCTGGAAAATTGATCGGGCATCTCTAGGCTAGAGAAGTTCTCAACCTGTGGTCTGCAGATCCCCCCTATGGACCCTCAATGTCATCACAAGGAGTCCACAAAGGGTTGAAGAAATGTTATGTTTAAATCTTGAGTTAAGCTTCGGGGATCCGTGGCCATGATCTCTGGCCACAAAAGATATTTAAAGTGGGTGAAGAAAAGGTCGAGAACCACTGCTCTAGACAAATAATACCAAACTGTACCTTGGTGGGATTTCAGTATTGGTGTTGATCAGTGACATGCGGTGAAGTTTATGGCTGGTGAGGCAGTCCTCTCCCCCGGCACCCCACTGATTAAAGCGCTTTCTTTTGCCCGCAGCAGAGCTCAGGCGGGCGAAAGGAAGCACTTTAATCAGTGGGGTGCATGCCGGGAGAGAGGAGAGAATGCTCAGGCTCTACAGGAGGAGGTGAGAGAACCACTTGCCTCATCTACATAAGGAATTTTTCGGCTTTTAACCCTTGCTTAACTCTGCTCGAGTGATCATAAAGATAAATGAGGCACGTGGTTCTTTCGCCTCCTCGTAGAGGGCACTTTTTTTAGAGGCTTTTTTAAACAGTTAAGCACTAAGCTCTGGCAGCAATTACTTCAGCCTTTTTCCTTTTAATTTTTCTTTTCTTTTCATGATGACAGTGGTGAGGCCCTGCCTCCCCTGACTGCACGCCACTGGTGTTGATGAGAGTAACATTACAATCCACTTTCTGATAGTTGCCTTTTTCTTCCCTTTTCTGTGCAGCCTTCCCATGCTGACAAAATATCAAATCCCGAAGTAATGAAATGGATGAATGACCTGGCCAAAAGTCGTAAACAGCTAAAAGGTACGCACTGTCACTGTGTCTAGCCTCTTTCTCACAGGACCAGAAGCTACTATCAGACTTCCAAATAGCATCCCCAGTAAACTAAGGGTCCAAGGCTAGAGATTCCTCAAAGTTCCAATGTATTAAGTATTAAGTTCCAATGTTGGCACCTCTGGGAAACCCTGAATCTGAAAGCTTCCAGGTTTCCCCCACCCAGTTGAAAGTTCAAGTCCCTGCCCCAGCACCCCCATGTCCCTCACATGGTCCAATCAGTCACTGTCCCAAAAGAAGAGTCCTCCCAGTGATGCCCCTCCAAGTGCCGAGGCAGATGATCTTGACTCTGAGAAAGAATGTTACTTTAACTACAGAGCAATGTAAGCCAGCAACAAAGTATGTGTTTTGCTTCGTGCTCCAGGAGATTCAAAGACCTTGGCTTGGTGATCAGCTGGAAAAAGTTCTGCCACCTTCACTGCTGCTGTCAGATGACTACCGAGTAAAAAATAAAATTATGGGTGTACAGTGCCTACATCATATTATTCAAAATGTCCCAGCAGCTGTCCTCGGCCAATTTAACAGAGTTCAGGTTGTGTATCATGCAAGGCTAAACTGGTGCAGGTTGTGTTGCTATGCATGCTGGATGGGCTGCTTGTCTTGGAAAGAGCCCCACAGCAGTTGTCCCCTAAACCCCGACGTGTCACAGCCTCTGACAGAGTCCTCCAACTGTTACTGACCCACATGGAAGCAGAGAGCCAGCTTTCTTTGCAGAGAATATATGCCAAGAGCCTGCCTGCCTTTGTCGAGAGGCTCGGCATCCGGATTGTTCATCATCTGAAGCGGCTGCAGTGAGTGATTGTGGGATATCTGGAAATCCATGATGGACCAGAGGAAGCTGCTCAGATTGCAATGTTAGAAAGCTCCCATGCTTTATACAATCTCCTCTCCCAGCTTCCCACACTAGAATATGTGGCAGGCTTGACACCCACTGTAAAAAATGGCTTCCAAACCTGACAACTAAAGTGTTTACTCTTCAGCCTTATGGATGGGGAAAAGGACAGAATCATCCTGGGGCACTAATATACACCATCTCTCATATTGGAAGAAAAGCCAGTTCAACTCTAACAGGGGCAGGAAGGCATTTGAAATCCTATGTGAAGGATTTCTGGGAGAACCTCTGTGCATCCAAACTTCAATTCACTCTAAAGGACCCCTGGAAAATGCTGTATTTTCTCCCTGACCCACAGCCTTTCCGAGAGAGCGAAAGAGAGCAAGAGAGCGAGAGCGAGAGAGCGAGAGAGCGAGAGCGAGAGCGAGAAGAATGAAGTCCTCCTTATACTCACACTTTCTTGTAGATGTAACCAGCAAAGTTTGGTTTGGTGCAAAGCCAGCATTGTTGGTTTCTGTGGCTTTTCCAGGAACCTTAAATCCCAGCCCTTTCCTGGATCAGCCTAGCTCTCCACCGACGGAGCTACTGCAGAGCTAACGGATTCATTATGTGAATACTATTGGGCAATGGGCTTTAGTAGGCAAGAACCAGACCAGCATAGCTGCAACAGCATTTATTGGCTCAAAATTGGAACTGAGGAACTGGGGCAAATGCCTGTGATTTATACTCTAGGCCCACAGGGCCTTAACCAATCATAGAACTAGAAAAAGCTGGCCCAAATATAAATGTTCTAAATTTATCTCCATAACAGTTGGGGTCATCTAAAGGTTAGTTTCACTTTAGCACAGTTAACACTTAGGGTCATCTAAAGGTTAGTTTCATTTTAGCACAGTTAACACAACTATATACATTCAATACATAACAGATACCTCTCAACCATCAATCCTACAATGCCAAGCTTGATCTTAGATACCAAACTAGCTTTAGAAACTCTTATTTCCCTATTCAATATGTTCCAAGTATCAGATTTCCACCAAACGATAGGCGTCATAGACATTTTTGTGATAAAGTGCACTGGAAGCTGTCAGAGATCAAATCTGTTCCTTAAGATACTGTGTGCCAGAGGAGATGCAGTGTGACTTTTTAATGACATCTTTTTAAAACTTAAAAAGCTGAGTAATCTGATCCATACAATTACTGCCTCCGTTTGATTACAAGAGCCTGTGCAAAACAGATAAAGGGAGAGAATTAATGAGTAAAGCTGGAAGCTGAGTTGCTAAATTGGCTCTACTCTGCTGAGGTCACTGGGAGAAGGAAGTTGAGGGTGGGAAGGGCACCGGAATAGCCTTCAGGCAGAAATAATTACTTCCTTGCTTTGCCTAGTCTTGATCTGTACTTCCTTTCGGTTTGCTCCACACCAAAATTTTGTAAAAAAACAAACAAAAAAACCCAAATCACAGGATATTGCAGGTAGTTCTCAACTTACAAGTTTATTTAGTGACATTTCAAAAAAGGTGACTTACGACCATTTTTTCACACTTATGACCGTTGCAGCATCCCCATGGTCACGTGATCATAATTCGGATGCTTGGCAACTGAATGATGTTTATGATGGTTGCAGTATCCTGGGGTTATGTGATCCCCTTTTACAAACTGAGAAGTTGTAGGTTGCAAGTGTTTGCTCAGTGGAGCAGGGGTGAAATTCAGCCAGTTCTGACAGGTTCTGGAGAACCAGTAGTGGAAATTTTGAGTAGTTTGGAGAGCCAGCAAATACCACCTCTGGCTGGCCCCAGAGTGGGGAGGGAATGGGGATCTTGCAGTATCCTTCCCCTGCCATGCCCACCAAGTCACACCCACAGAACCGGTAGTAAAAGAAATTGAATTTCACCACTGCAGTGGAGGTATTGTGTGGACTTTTCTCACAGAGCTGAAACTGAAAATGACAGAAGAGCAGAGCTTCCCCATCAGAAAGAACCAAAGGAGCTTTTATCCGGAGAGCCCCAGGGAGGCTGGGATGCTGGCTCCAGCAGATTCTCCCACTGCTCCTTCGGTGGAGGAAACCATGGAAGTGGTGAAGAAGCAACTGAAAGAGAAGCGACAGCAGCTCGGTCTCCCTGAGAACATCAAGGTACCCAGTTCTGGCTTACGATCTAGGTCTGCTAAACCAGCAAATCTCGTTTACCTGCTGACTTGCTTGACATCTGCCTGATGGCTTCTGTCTTGTCGTGTCATCTTCATGAGCTTCCTTCCACACTGATTTGCAGATGCTGTGTGTGTCCATGAGCTTCGCATGAGCGAAAAACCAAAGAGGTACAAATTACTTGGTACAAACATCTGTTCAGAAAACGGTGTATTAGTGGTCTACTAGGGTACAAATGTGTATTATTCTCCCCTGGTAACAAAGATGGTGGTTGTGATGTTTTACTACATCACAGCCCCATGCGCTCTACATGGGGCTGCCCTTAAAGAGTGTTCGGAGACTACAGTTGGTCCAGAATGCAGCCGCGCGAGCGATATTGGGTGTACCTGGATACACCCATGTTACACCTATCCTCCGCGAGCTGCACTCGCTCCCTATTGGTCGCCGTATGCGCTTCAAGGTGCTGGTTATTACCTTTAAATCCCTACATGGCCTTGGACCTGGATATCTGTGAGACCGCCTCCTGCTACATACCTCCCAACGGCCGATAAGAACTCACAGACTGGGCCTCCTGCAGGTGCTGTCAACCAGACAATG